TTCTTGAAGTTTGTCGCTCGCCAAGTGTTTGATGAAATACCTAAATTGCTAAGACAATGTTGTAGCTAGTTATATGAGCTCCTATTATTTTAATTGATGGCATTAGTTCTCTACCAACTTAAACTATGAGCTTATAAAGGAATTTGACGTCGTTGACAAAGAACTCGTGGGATGGTGTTCGGAGGCCATGAGTTTGACTTTTTATGTTAATTGTGAATGATTAAGGGGGCAGGTTCTCTATAGTTAAATGATTGAGGAGTAATACTGAACACGTGAATAACTCATGAGCCTACTTGGAAAGTAGTGAAAGAGAAGGGTGTGGAGATACACAATTTATCTATAGTAGTCGTTGAGATAGTCACTCGTGAACTATTATTGTGTTTTCGGCCTTGTTGTGCTTCTTGATTGGTTTCTTATGGTATCCCTTTATGGTGTTATGTTGTAGATAAAGTTGTCAAAGATAGTAAGTCCCGAAGTAAGGTATGTAAAGCTAAAGCCGCTTTCGCAATTAAGGCACAACCTAAAGTCGCATGTTTTTTCGATAAATGTCATCAGAGATTATATGATACTTGAAAGCAAGTTATCCTATTTTATAAACTCTCTCATGTTGGAGTCCTAAACCTATAGAGTTATAGTACTCTTTTCTGGTCAAGGAATCCATATGTTTAACATAACTATATGTGTCTTCAGTTGAAACTCTTAGGCGTTAGCAGGTGTACTTGTTGCATATATTTAAAAGAAGCAGTTAGCCATAGATTATTCGTAAGTGTATATGTCACAAGATGTATGATTCTCAAGCTAAACATAAGTAATCACATATTTTATCACGAGTTATATGATTTATGAATTAGTTATTATAAGCCTTTTCATGAAATTGAGAGTATAGCCTACTCTGCAGCGTATGATGGGTATTTTTAGGGCTAATATGTGCGATGTTGTTCTGTGCACAAAATTCAGATAGAGTCAGCTGGAATTTCCCGTCGTGGAATCATCTGACTGATAAAGGCTGCGGGTTAACTATACAGGAGCCCTGCGGGGCGTACCTTGAGAGACCTCGTTACCCAGACCATAAGATTTTAAGTGTGGTCATGACAGTGGGCTACATATGCCATACAAGGTTCACTAATCGCCGCGACACTAGGCCATAATGTGATTCCCTGATAGTTAGTTCTACAAAGAGCAAGGAATTTATATAACAAAGTAAAGATATCACTTAGGCAAACTATATGAATTTTGTATATATAAATGAATAAGCCATGAAATGTTAGATGTGAACCCTTGAGATTCATCACAATTCCAGTTTCGGATTATGTCTCCTGCATACATATGATCAGATTTGCCTATCTTGATATTTGATTCATTTTAGAATACTTACATGTCTACTTGTTATTCAGTCTGCTTTTCATACCAGTACATGTGTTATATGTATTGACGTCCCTATTATTGTGGCGCTTCATTTCTATCACTACAGGCTCAGGTACTCAGGACAACAAACATTTCCAGTAGACCAGAGACTTCTAGTTTAGCAGTTGGTAAGCTCCACCTCTACCTGAGGCTATCAGATATTTAGAGCCTACATTTTGCTAAGTATGTACATATATCAGAATGGGTATGTTGGGGCCCTGTCCCGACTTATTATCAGGTTCTCAGGTTCATACTCTTTAGAGGCTTCTTAGACTTGGTTTTATTTCCGTTGTAAAATAGCCTAGTGGGCCCTTTTGTTATATATGTTTTAGTATGTGTCATGAAATAGGTTCCACTGTTTATGAGTCTACAACTTTTTCATGAGTTTAGTACAGAAAATTAGCAAGTGCTTACTTATATCCTTGATGTCCTCCCCTTTCTAGTTAGGGGTGTGACATGCATAATTCATATGAGACACTGATATGAGTTCATAAAGTATGAACCATATAGATTTTAACATGGACCATACACCATCTGAAGCTACTTGACATGATATGTGGGTACCATATGCATGAGGTATTAATACTTCTACTATGCCTTAAGCGATATGCCTGTTGACTTTAAAGCGTAAAAATACTTCTTAACTACGGTTCTTCTCTTGAATACTACCCTTCATCAGTTGTAACTTATAACCCTCACAAAGATATGTGTGTCTACTTCTACTCAAGTTTCAGTCTAACTACATGCTCTCAAATGTTCAAGCTTAACCTAAACTCACAAGGTGTTACACGTACAATGAACATACTAATTCTATATTTCTATAGGAAATTTCATCCCAAGAATACAACTTCTTCTTACCACACCCTTTAACTAACCTCAAGTTCAAATTAAGAAGCTACTAGTGCACTATTCATTCATCTATATGTTATCAACATAGTATTCAAGCCTATCACTATAACCATTTCATGGACTTCAAGGTAACCAACTTATCTAATAGTTTTGTAATTCCTAACGTCTGTACAAGCCAAAATTTCTAAGGACTACTATCAAGAGACATACCAAGATTTTTTTTATCTAACTATTTGATACAATAGATCTTTGATCTCCCTCTACTTTTATAAACTTAGATAAAATAAACATACCCCGGTCTTCTCAATAAGAGACAACTACCTTTTTCATCTAAAATTATCATTCAACTGTTATCAACAACACTATCGCAAAATAGGGAAGGTCACTAAAAGACGAAAGTATAAGGATTTAGAATAACAGAGATACCATTAAATCATAACTTATACTTACCATAACTTTGACACTCATAAGTGGGGCTCTTGAAGAGACAAGTGTAATAGGACGTGTACGTCATGCACTTAGAACATAAACAATACATAATGAGGCATTCTAGGCATAGAACATGCTATAATCATCTATCACTACCACGGGAGAACATAAGTAAGGTTTAGAACAACATAATTGTAGGAATGAGTTGTTTAAGAAGAGTGTACTGAAAACATGCTTATCATATTGTGATTTTCACTGGTCACCAAGAATGTATAATGAGTTTACAGGGCTAAGAATATTGAGAAATCATGAGTGCATGCATCCTAAGTTGTATATCATAAAGGTAGAGTCATAGGTTTATGTTGTAATATGAGGTTCATGTTCTGAAGCTATTTTTTTTCTATTATAAAATATAAGCATGGCCATAAATCTATATGAGGTGCATGAGTATGGATCACAAGCACAATGTTAAGATGGAAGAGATGAATAGAGTATGATAATGGTTGGAATATGAAGAATACTCTAGAGTACAAATGATTTGCTATCTCATCATAACTTATTATGAAATGCATCACAATCTGATTCATAAAACTTGATGTGGTACTTCTCCCTATCATCCCCCCATTAGATCAAGGCCAACACTCTAAGTTTGTGGGCATATTCCATATCCCCTAAACTAAGCAATAATATACACATTAACACTTAAGTTACCTGGGCAACCTATATTTGGAAGATACTAGCTTCATTATAGAATATTCCATTCAAAGATACAATTCTTAACTTTTTCTAGCTTCTATACTCATCATCATATAACTTATACTCTTACTAGCAAACATAACCAATTTCCCTAGCACCTCATTGTTGACACCCAATTTTACCCTCCACAATTTAATTAATTTTCAAGCTTCTTCAATTTCAAATAATTTGACATAATTGTTTTCGATAATCAAAAATACTTTCAAGATTAATTTCAAGGCAATTTTGCCATTTTTACCTATAAAACACATTTCTATATATTTATAATATATAGTTTTTATATATTTATTTCTTTCAATAAATACTTGGAAAATCATTTTTACCAAATGAATAATGTTTAACTTAGTATGTATCTTATTTTTCCTTAAATTAATTAAATTTTGATAAGAGTTGCAATTAGTCTTATTTTTGATAATTAGTTAGTTATTTCACATTTGTTAAAATCAAGAAGCTTAATCGAATTCTCAATATCTCTCCATCCCAGCAACAGACGCACCAACGATGAACCCAACAATTCCAATCTAATTCTCAATTTCTCTCTTCCTTCCCCTCTCATTCGTACGTTTCAGCACGAGTTCGAGGACACGTGGAGGCTTCCAAGCATTCACTCATGCTATTAGCCTCTTAATTCATTTTTCCTTTTTACAATTTTTTGTCAGCTTTCATACGATATCGTACACTACCTAATTGGCTAACCTTATCCACTCCAAAAAATTTCAGCTTTTCCCACATTGGTTCTTGCCCAGAAATCCACCCCCCACCCAAATCTCTCCTATAAATACCCTTTTAGGCTCATTGTTCATTCTCACGACGGAGGGGCCCGAATAACTTAGAGCACCCACGAAAAGGGTTTGGGAACTTTTGGTTCAAGTTCAAAATTTTCTCCCTTGGATGTCTCTAGTCATTTTGATGATGGTGTAAACTCCATCAATGGAGATTAATACATTTCTAATTTGCAGTGGAATTAGATGAGAAGAAGAGAAGAGAAGATATTTTGAGAGAACACAAAACCACTGTTACATTGAATTGGCTCAGCTATCTATTACATTCATGTAACTGACTATTTATAGTTTAGCTTATACATATTCAACTAACTAACTATGTACAGCTGGACCTTCTCTAACAAACTAAGTGATTCACACCATATAGCTTTTACAGTGAAATTCACTTACCAACACTCCCCCTCAAGCTTATGGTTGAAACACATTCTTCATTCCAAGCTAACTTACTAACATATTGTGTTGTACCTTTCCTAGACCTTTAGTGAGCACATCTGCAAGCTGGTCTTTAGTATTTATATGCTCAGTTTTTAACATCCCTTGACATATTCTTTCTCTAACAAAGTGACAATCAATATCAAAATGTTTTGTTCTTTCATGGAAGATGGGATTGGCAGCAATTTGAATAGCTGCCTTACTATCTCATATAATTCTCACAGGTAGGATTACTTCTGAACTCTGCTTCTGCTGCACTCCTTGACACAGTCTCTTGCTTCTTGGACTTCCAAGAGACAAGGCCTTCTCCAGACTTTATTGCATAACCTGTAACTGATCTTCTAGTCTCTAAACATGCTCCCAGTCAGAATCACAATAGGCTATTAGTTTGCTGGTGTCTTTTGCTGACATTAACAAGCCTAAATCAAGTGCTTCTTTAATGTATCTCACCACTCTTAAAGCTTCCTCCATATGTGACTTTTTAGGGCAGTGCATGAATTGACTCAACACTTGTATAGAGAATGCAAGATCAGGTGTAGTCATGGTAAGGGACAAAAGCTTCCCTACCACTCTTTGGTACTTTGTAGTGTATGTGAGAATGGTATCACCTTCAGGAATTCCATTATTAATGTGTTCATCATACTGCACAGAAGTGAGTTTCTGATTCATCTCAAGTGGTGTGCAAGCTGGCTTTGCTCCCCCTAGCCCAGATTCAGATATTAAATCTGATGCATACTTTCTTTGAGACATGAGTATGCCTTTGTTGGACCTAGAAAACTGAATTCCCAGAAAGAACTTTAGTTCACCTAGATCCTTCATCTTGAATTTCTTTTGAATCTCCTGACTGGTGTCACACAAGAGCTTCTGATTACTTCCTGTAACTAGAGGATCATCCACATACACTAGCACTATCACTGTGTCTCAGCCAACCAACCTTGTGAACAATGAGTAATCATAGTGACTCTGTTTGAACCCCATATCTACTAATGCTTATGTTAGCTTCATGTTCCATTGCCTTGGTGCCTGCTTAAGTTCATATAGAGACTTGTGGAGTTTTCAGACCTTGTGAGTCTCTCCCTGTCTAGAAAAACCACTAGGAATAGTCATGTACACCTCGTCTAGTAGATCACCATTGAGGAAAGCATTGTGGACATCTATCTGATAGATGTACCAACCCCTAGATGCTGCAAGAGCCACCACTGACCTGACTGTAACCATCTTAGCCACATGGCTAAAGATTTCACCAAAATCAATGCCTTCCTTTTGACTGAATCCCTTTGCCACCAACCTTGCTTTGTATCTTTCTATTGCCCATGAGGAGAGATACTTCATTTTATAAATCCGTCTACAACCAATAGGTTTTTTCCATGTGGGAGATCAACTATGCTCCATGTCTTATTACTTTCTAATGCTGCTATTTCCAGTGCCATAGCTTTTACCCATGCAGGGTCAGAAGCAGCTTCATGAAATGATGCAGGTTCACAGATAGCTGAGTAGGCCTTCAATACCTAGTTGTAAGCTTGTGAAAAATGAGAGTAAGAGAGCTGGTTAGTAATAGGGTAGGCATATGCATTGCCTTTGGATGTAGTGACAAAGTCCTGCAACTATATAGGGGGTTTACTATGTCTAGTTGATCTCCTGACTGGTTCAAGTGCAGTGGACACATCTGGAGTAGGCCCTGTATGAATTGGTGGAGATGGTGCCACTTAGCTCATCTCAGAAACCTCAGTTGTGGTGGGGTAAAGTGACCGAGGGTTCACCCAAAGTGTCAGCATATGTTAGTACTGCTTCTAGGACTGGAAATATGGGGTTAGAAGATGCTTGGAGATCTTTAAATGGATATGAATGTTCATGAAATACTACATGTCTGCTCACAAAAAAAGAATGAGCATGAATATCATACAAAATGTAACCTTTTTGAGTTGAAGAATACCCCATGAAAACTGTAGGAATTGCTTTAGAGGAAAACTTATCCAAGACTTTTCAACAAGCAACAAAACACAAATACCCAAATACTTTGATATGGGATAAGGAAGGAGGATGTAGGCATAATTTTTCAAATTAGGACTTGAAGCCAAGGACTTTGGAAGAGAGCCTATTCAAAATATAAACAGGTGTAGACACACACTCACCCCAGAACTTAAGTGGGATACAAGCTTGGAACCTGATAGCCCTGGCAACATTCAGTATGGTCCTATGTTTCCTCTCAGCCACCCTATCTTGTTGTGGTGTGTACACACAAGTGGATTGATGAACAATACCAAGTTCACACTAATGTTTTAAACTCATGACTGGAAAACTCACAGCCATTATCAGTTCTTAGGACCTTAACTTTAGTAGAGAACACGTTTCTAACATGTGTGAGAAATTGTTTGAGAACAACAACAGTGTCAGCTTTAGATGCAATCAAGAATACCCAAGTGTACTTGCTATAATCATCTACAATAGGCACAAATTTTTTTTTCCCATTATGAGTGGGTACTTTGTATGGTCCCCAGATATCACAATGTAGCAATTCAAAAGTAGACTTGGAGACCTTAGTGCTTACATGAAAAGAAAGTTTTGTGTGCTTTGTTAAAGGACACACTGTATAATGAGTGTGAACCTTGTTTTGTAACAAGCTAAAAGACTCATGTCTTTTTATTACATCAATAGGTACATGACCAAACCTCTTATGCCATACATCAGCAGATTTAGACTTAGACAAAGAATTGGACATAGACTCAAGTAGACATTTACTACCATTATCACTAGCAGGACTGCTACTACTATTATTGACCAGCTTCTTTGGAGCTTGATGTGGTCCTTGATGTGATCCTCCTCTTAGTATGTAGAGTACATGATACTCCAGACCAATCCCCTTCACCTGACCAGTGGAGAGATCCCGGAGGATACAGAAGTTAGGAAAGAAGCCTACCATGCAGTTAAGTTCCTTAGTGAATTTAGACACTGACAATAAATTTACTTTAAAGTCGGCTAAGAAGAGAGCCTTGGAGATAGTCTGATTAGTACATATACTAGTTGTACCAATATGAGACACTGAAACTGTATTTCCATTTGGCAAATTTACTCTACTGTCTGAGTTAGCAGGTGCTTCTGTACTTGTAGCTAGTGTGTTAAGGTGAGAGGTGATGTGATGAGTAGCTCCAGTGTCTACTGTCCATTCACCAGCATCACATGCACACAAAAAGGTCAAAGAGGAATACCTGCATCCGCATAAGCCACTCTAGCAGGAGGAGTAACTGTAGTTTCATCACCAGACCTGGATAACAGTTGCAGGATCTGTTGATACTGATCCTGAGTAAAGAGAGCTCTAGGCTGCTGAACTGTAGTTGAGTGAACTCTTGGTTCAAGGCTTTGAGATGGTTCAACTTGATTGGCAAAGCTCCTTGAGGATTTACCTTTCCTTTTAGACTTAAAATCAGCTGGACATCCAACTATCTTGTAACATTGATCTTTGGAATGACCCTTGCAGCCACAATGATCACATTGCAATAATGGCCTCCTTCCCTTGTAACTTCCAGAAGTGCTAGCACCACCATTAGGACCTCCACTTGTCATTGACGAACTTCCCTTGAAAGAGCCATATCCATGAGTGTAGGTAGGACCTAAATGGTTGTATAAAGTTGTGCCATCAATTGCACCAGCTCCTGAACTATTTGAAGAAGAAGAGATCAAATTCCTCTAACTCTCTTGAACCATAAGAAGTGCATACACTTTATTTAGTGTAGGAATTGGACTCATCATGAGAATTTGACTTCGGAGAGGAGAATAGGACTCATTCAAACCCATTAAGAACTGTAATAACCTTTGTTACTCACAATGTTCTCCAAATTTCCTTGATTCTGGACAGGGACATGAGGGACAGGGCATGAGTGCATCATACTCATCCCAGAGGTCTCTTAATTTTGAGAAGTAGTCAGCAACTGACATTGTTCCTTGTGAGAGAGTGTGAATTTCCCTGTGGAGATGGAAGATTCTAGATCCATTCACAGTGTCAAACTTCTCTCTCAGATCCAACCACACTTTGTGAGCATTAGAAGCATACACAACAGAGCTCAGCAGTCCAGGTCGAACTGCATTCATAATCCAGGATAACCCCACAACATTGCATTTCTCCCATTGATCATGCAACACTGGTTCGAACAAATATTTAGGGAAATGACCATCTACAAACCCTAACTTGCTGCGACCTACAAGACCAATCCTAAAGGATCTACTCCATAGCGCATAGTTCAGTTACCTGGAGTGTCTGTATGTTGCAGAAATAGTGGGTGATTGTGATCAATAATTGGAAAAACAGCCATGGATGGAGCACTATCACTTGTAACAGTTGTATAAGCTGGAATTGCCATTTGAATGAAGAGAGAAGATACTTCAATCTATTTTTGATGCTACCTTGCGATTCACATAAGCACAGGTGAGATCTGAGCACCTAGTAACGTAATTTGAGTGCGAAATGAGCCTACGATCTCGGGCTCCGATACCATGTAAGCTCCATTAATGGAGATTAATACATTGCTAACTTGCAGAGGAATTAGATGAGAAGAAGAGAAGAGAAGATATTTTGAGAGAACACAAAATCACTGTTACATTGAATTGGCTCAGCTAAGTATTACATTCATGTAACTGACTATTTATAGTTCAGCTTATACACATTCAACTAACTAACTATGTACAACTGGACCTTCTCTAACAAACTAATTGATTAACACCATATGGCTTGTACGGTGAACTTCACTGATCAACAAGTTCGTCACGTCCAAGCTTGAGTTCCAGTCGCTGCTTCGGAAAAGGTAACCTTCTTGTCATTTTATCATTTTCACCTAATTATATTTCTGTTCTTTAGAGTTTTTTTTTGGTTGTTAGCTGCATTAGTTTAGGAATTACTTTCCTTGTCTTGGTATTCTTCAGGATTTGTGTGTTAATAGCAGCTTAGTTTTACTTTAGTTTTTCTTGGTTTTAAATCTTCCATGTAGCTCCTTATTTAGGTGTTCGATTTTTATGTATGTATATATTGAATCTACAATTAATATGTAGAATGTGTTGTGTGTTTATATGCATACACGTTCCTAAAATTATGCTCTAGTTTTATTACATTTGTTGAATATTGTGTGTGAATCTTATCGGAGATGTTGTTAGCTATATTTAGACACTCAATGTTACTGTCTTCTTTCCCCCTTTAGCTGCCAGATCTTTTATCATGTAAATCTGAATTATGCATATTGTCTATCTTATGTAGAATCACTTAGCTATTTTTCTTTAATTTAGATATGTGATTTAGTTTCCTTTGCTAGTTCTTTCATGATGCTTGTTAGCATGTTCTTGCCTCGGTATTAAGGTTAAAGTTCACATCTTTACGTGAATTCTTTCTGTTCAGATTTCTTAAGTGATTTGAATCCTTCATTTAGCAAAGAATCAACTGTGGCAGCATCTTATGCCAATGACTGATCTATTATGGTTAAGAATAGAATGAATGATTATTATTTTCTTTACATTATCCTCTGGATATGGTCTCAAGTCTTATAAATGTTGCCTTCATTTTCTTTGGTATATGACTTGATAATTTCCAATTGCTCATAGTTAATTAAGCATGTTAACCTAAACTATAATATTTTGAAGTCATCATTATGATATGCTTTTTCCACTTCTTTAGCATGATTAAGTTAATTCATGTCAATTAATCTTATGTGATTTTTGTGTTATGCTGCCTTGTTTATTCACGGTCCTCTCAAATGTTTAAATTTTAAATCTAAAAAGAGACTGAATTTCGTATATTTTCGTGATTAGTGTTGGATTTGGTCTTAGCGACTGAATCTGTTGAAAACAACCATCTAAATGATATATTGGTTATCCTAAAAATCGATTTCTTGTTACTGCCTCTCTATTTATTAATTATATGGAATGCACTCTTTCTATCATTAATTTTTATTTTTACTAGTTGGAGTCTGCATGCCTTAAGTCTTGGCTATAAACCTTCCTGCAAGTATTGTGGTACTAGTTTTCTATCTTAGTGGAGAATGATCATTTTAAGTTAAAATTTGGTGAAATTTCAAGCTTCGTTTGATCGTGCAAATTATTAACTATGGATGAAATTATTAAGTTAGAATTATCAAAAGTATTTTAGTAATTTTTAAACAAGTTTTATTTTTCACAAGTAATCTATAGTTTTCCTTTTAAAGTTAGCTAAATTTTTAAATCCGTCAGTCAACCATGCATTAGTGGATCCCTTTTAAGGTACTTAAAACCTTCCTTAGAGGATTACTTGAACCCTTACCCGACTCTACTTTATTTTAAAAGTTTTCTTTCAAAAAATTCTCATTTTTAAATGGTTTCTTAAGTTTCCCAAAATTAAGTGACGACTCTTATTATATCTAAATTTTTATTTTTAAATTAATAATTAGCCAAGTTATGAAAAGGTTTTTAAACATAGTTTTCGAAACAAAGTCGTAACACTCATAGTCTAATCTTTCTTGCTATTCTACTGACATCACACCTCTAAGTTCATATCCCTCTGAATCAATAGAGATTAAATTTTAACTAAGAGCCATAACACCGTCTATCTCTAAATCCTCGATTCAACTCTTATGAATGATAACACTGAAACTACTCTCAGAAACAAATTCAAAGAGTAAGCAGTCGTTGTCAATAAAAATACACAACTAAGAGTTGGAGTCGATTTTCATAGGGAATGAATGGTATATTGATAAGAATTCAACCTAGAAATTAAAAATGCAGACTTGTTCATTGTAGTAGGTTAAGACAAATGGGTGAATGATTCCACCAAATTTACGAAAATAGTTTACGATATCAAATGTCACAATTAAACTAAAATTTAGAAATTCAAATAGTTAACAAGTAATCTAGGGGTGCTAAAAATAATAATCTAGGGGTGCGGGGATTGGAATCGATATCACAGTGGTAATTGTGTTGCTAAATAGTGATAGAAAATCATGGATATGCTAGGTCATCTTCAATGACACTAATCTTCTTTCGATCTCATAGTGTCAGTTCATAGAATCTCCTTTTGGTATCATGTATGTGAATAACAAAACAACCCATTACCTTATGAAATCTCTCTTTCGAGCAAATTTTAGGTAAATAGATCTAAACCATAATCCCTCTTTCAAGCGAATCATAGACATCAAACCTAAATTGCATGCATCAAACTAATTACCCGCTCCAATTGATCTCTTTCGAGTATTAATCAGAGATCGAAAATAGGATTATGTTTGCAACCCTAACCCATAAGTTAACCTCATGATGCATGAGTAGCAGTAAAACAAAGCAAAATACAATACCCACTACATTAAATCAACACCCGGCCCCATAATTGCAACCATAAACTTGAGGTTTTACCCACCCATCACAAAAAGTGAAGAAATTATACCTATCATGATAGCAACCATGGATGTGAAAAAATTAAGCAATTATAATCAATACCCACTTCGATTTCAACTTCTAATTATTAATTGCAAAAGTAAAATTGAAAACCCCAAAAATAACGATGTTCTTCACAAGGTGAAATATCTCATATACAAAAACTCTCATAACTTAAACTCTTAAGGAAAGCTCTCACTCAAAAGCTCTCTATTTTCTCTCTCCTTAGGTATTTGTAGTTTCCCAAAATTTTGCCCAAAATCCACTATGTGACAACCTCGGCGACATTAGTCGGGCTCGCCGAGCTCGATCGACGGATCACCATATGTTCTTGAGATCACCTTTCCTTTGCTTCAGGCTTCAGGTGTTTGAACCTCAGTTGGTGAACTCATTTGAGTTTGCCTTTCACATTCGGTGAATCGTCGACTACCACCATTGTTTGTCTTTTAAGCCTTCATTTTTCATCAAAGTCCTGTCACTTTCGGTGATGATCATTTGGTTTGCCTTTCCATTTCAACGAATCGTTGTTTCACTTTTGGTTTTCTGACCTGCCTCGATTATCTTCAATTATGAACATTGTCACTTTGGGCGAGGTCATGCTATTTGGGCGATCTGCCCTTTTGGTTAGGCGACTCCCACTGTGGAGTTTACACTTCTTTCATTGTTTTTGGCCTTTCTTTCAAGTATTTTTCCCAAAATACACTATGTGACAACCTCAGCGACATTAGTCGAGCTCGCCGAGCTCGATCAACGAATCACCATATGTTGCTGAGCTCACCTTTCATTTGCTTCAGGCTTCATGTGTTTGAACCTCAGTTCGCGAACTCATTTGAGTTTGCCTTTAACATTCGGTGAATCGTCGACTACCACCATTATTTGTCTTTTAAGCCTTCATTTTTCATCAAAGTCTTGTCACTTTCGGTGATGATCATTTGGTTTGCCTTTCCATTTCAGCGAATCGTTGTTTCACTTTTGGTTTTCTGACTTGCCTCGATTATCTTCAATTATGAACATTGTCACTTTGGGTGGGGTCATGATATTTGGGCGATCCTCCCTTTTGGTTAGGCGACTCCCACCATGGAGTTTACACTTCTTTCAATGTTTTTGGCCTTTCTTTTAAGTATTCATGCTCGCTTAGTCCTTTAACTTTCACAGCTGCAAATCATCAAAATATCATCAAAATAGGATATAATTAGACATTGAGGACACTAATTGTTAAACTTAAAAGTCCTCAAGTGAGTGAGTGTAAATATACCACTCATCAACACCCCTAACTTAAACTTTTGCTTGTCCTCGAGTAAATCAAGAACACAATTAGTTCAACAAGGGTGTCTACAAAAGTTCTCAATGAGATTTAACATGCAAACACTACTACAAGACTACTCTCAAGCAAATACAACACTCCATGATAAAAAAGTTTCAAATGATGAATAGGCGGTATCAATCCAAGCTCAAGCTCACTATAACATCTTCTCTAATGCAAAACCATGTTTCAACAAATGCATTCAAGTTCCCTCACATCAAGAAAGATTTAGTTCTCTCACAAAGCAAGTCAATGAAGAAGTTAAGAATAAATACAACTATCACTCTGTGAAAGAGAATTACATGCAAGCTTCATCCCATAGGTTTGCCCATATTTTCCAATCATAACAACACCTATTCATGCAAGATCTATAGGGGCTTTCAGGCTTGTAATAGGGTTGAGGGTAAGGGTATGATCACTTTGGCTTAGTGACTTCACCTTTTTAAAGCATTGTTGTACTCATTTTCACCTCTTCTCAAGTTCTTTCTATTGTTTTCACTTGAAGACTTAAACTTCAATTTTCCATGCAATTTATTAGATACCCCCTTATTTCCTCAAACATTCTTTTTCATTTCCATTTTCAAATTTCTTTGCTCATATTTTTTTTAAAGAGGGGTTCCTTCATTTTGTAACACACTTCAAAATTAAGTCTCACTTCATCTTTATTTTCTT